GGGCCGGGGCCCAGCCTGAGGGAGGGGCCTCAGGTATTCCTGAGGGAAAAGGGAATTCCTGGCTTCCCTGGGGGAGAAGGAAATTTCCCTTTTCCTGGAGGGAAGAGGAAATGAGTGGTTTTCCGGGGGGGGGAGGCTGGTGGCTGGTTTTCCTGAGGGAAGCGGGAATTTCTCGTTTTCCTGAAGGTGAGGCCTTCTGGAAACTTCTGGATTTCCTGAGGGAGAAGCTGGTTTCTGGTCTTCTGGAGAGGAAATTTCCAGTTTTCCCGAGGGAGAGGCTGGTTTCTAGGAAATGTCAGGTTTTCCTGAGGGAAAGGGAAACTTCTAGATTTCCTGAGGGAGAAACTGCTTTCTGATTTTCCAAAGAGGAAAATTCTGTTTTTCCGGAGGGAGAGGTGGGTTTCTGGGAAATTACTGGTTTTCCTGAGGAAAAAGGAAATTACTGGTTTTCCTGAGGGAGAGGCTGGTTTCTAGGAAATTACTGGTTTTCCTGAGGGAGAGGCTGGTTTCTGATTTTCCAAAGAGGAAAAGCAAATTTCTGTTTTTCCCGAGGGAGAGTCTGGTTTCTGGGTAATTACTGGTTTTCCTGAGGGAAAAGGAAGTGTCAGATTTTCCTGAGGAAAAAGGAAACGTCAGGTTTTCCTGAGGGAGAAACTGGTTTCTGATTTTCCAAAGAGGAAAAGCAAATTTCTGGTTTTCCCGAGGGAGGGGCTGGTTTCTAGGAAGTGTCAGGTTTTCCTCAGAAAAAAGGAAACTTATGGATTTCCTGAGGGAGAAATTGGTTTCTGATTTACCAAAGAGGAAAAGCAAATTTCTGTTTTTCCCGAGGGAGAGGCTGGTTTCTAGGAAATTACTGGTTTTCCTGAGGAAGAAGGAAGTGTCAGGTTTCCCTGAGGGAAAGGGAAACTACTAGATTTCCTGAGGGAGAAACTGATTTCTGATTTTCCGAAGAGGAAAAGGAAATTTCTGTTTTTCCTGAGGGAGAGGCTGGTTGCTAGTTTTTCTTGAGGGAGTATTCAGGTTTTTTCTGCAGGAGTGGCTGGTTCCTCATTTTCCCAAGGGAAAAGGAAGTTTCTGGTTTTCCTAAGGGAAAAGGAAACTTCTGTTATTCCTGAGAGAGCAGCCAGTTTCTCATTTTCCTAAAGGGAAAGGAAATTACTGATTTTCCTGAAGGAAGTCTGGTTTCTGACAATTCCCAAGGGGAAAAGGGAATTACTGTTTTTCTGGAGGAAAAAGCTGGTTACTGGTTTTCCTGAGGAAAATGGAGTTTTCTATTTTTCCTGAGGGAAAAGGGAATTTATGTTTTTCTTGAGGAGGAGGTGGGTTTCTGATTTTCCTAACGAAATTTCTGCATTTGCTGGGGGAGAAGTCTGATTTCTGCTTTTCCTGAGGAAGAGGGAATTTCTGGTTTTCGAGGGGGGGGGAGGGGGAGGGTTGTGTGTGTTTCTGGTTTTCCTGATGGAAAAGGAAATTTCTGGTTTTCATAGAACTGTAGGTTGGAAAAGACCTCTAAGATCATCAAGTCCAACCATCCGCCCAACACCACCATGCCTACTGATTTTCCTGAGGGAGAGCCCCTTTCCTGGTTTTCCTAAGGGAGAAGAACTTCCCTTTCCCTCGGAAGCTTCAGGTTTTCCAGAGGGAGAGGCTGGTTTCTGTTTTTCCCACAGAACAAAGAAGTTTCTTTTGTTTCTGGTGGCAAAAGGAAATTTCTGTTTTTCCTGAGGGTGACGCCAGTTTCTGTTTTTCCTAAGGGAAAAGGAAATTTCTGGTTTTTCTGATGGGAAAGAGATTTTCTCTTTTTCCTGTGGAAGAGGCCAGTTTCTGGTATTCTGGAAGGAAAAGGAAATTTCTGGTTTTACTGAAGGAGAAGTAATTTTCTGGATTTCGTAAGGGGAAAGGAAATGTCTGGTGTTCTGGAGTGAGAGGCCGGTTTCTAGTTTTCTGGAGGCAAAATAGAATTTACGTTTTTCCAGAGGCAGAAGCTGGTTCCTGGATTTCCTGAGGGGAAAAGGAAATTTCTCGTTTTCCACAGGGATAAGGGAATTTCTGTTTTTCCTAAAGGATGGGCCAGTTTCTGGTTTTTCTGAGGGACAGGTCAGCTCCTGGTTTTCCGAAGGGAAAGAAAATTTCTTGTTTTCTGGAGGGAGAGACCAGTTCCTACTTTTCCCAAGGGGAAAGGAAATTTTTGGTTTTCCGGAGGGAGCAGCTGGTTTCTGGTTTTCCTGAGGGAAAAGGAAATTTCTGTTTTTCCTGAGAGAGAGACCAGTTCCTTGATTTCCTAAGGTGAGAGGAAATTTCTGGTTTTCCTGAAGGGGAGGCTGGTTGCTTTTTTTTTTGGAGGGAAGGGGAAATTTCTAGTTATCCTGCAGAAGAAGGAAATTTGTGGTTTTCCTGAGGGAGAGGCTGGTTTGTAGATTTGCTGAGGGAAAAAAACCTCTGTTTTTCTGGAGATAGAGGCCAGGTTCTATTTTTCCTCATGGAAAAGGCAATTTCTGTTTTTCCCAAGGCAGGAGCAAGCAGCCATTATATTCACAGTTTGAAACCATAATGCTGATTTTTCGCCTATTTCTTACAGATCCCTAGCCATGGCAGAGGGGGAACAGCCGAGGCCGCTGCTGCGGCTGGTGCAGGAGGGACGGCTGGATCTCTTCCGGGACAAGCTGCAGCCAGGCGACGCGCTGGACCCGGCGCCGCAGAGCCGACGCTATGGGCGCTCAGGGGACACACTGCTGCACCACGCCGCCCGATACGGGCACCGGGATGTCCTCGCCTACTTGGTAGAGGAGCTGGGGATGGACATGGAGCTGTTCAATAGCGACTACAAAAGACCTCTCCATGAAGCGGCCTCCATGGGCCACGGGGAGTGTGTCTCCTACCTCCTGGAGAGAGGCGCGAGCGTAGACTGCTTGAAGAAGGCAGACTGGTAGGTCACCGGCTCGCTCTGCATGGGTCAGAGCGGTATCTGCAAGGAGTTTGGATGCGGAAGGTGGGCACCCGGCTGCAGGAGCTGTCATTTAGAATCGTGGAATCACAGAATGTGTTGGGTTGGAAGGGACCTGTAAAGGTCATGTCACCCAACCCCCCTGCCATGAGCAGGGACATCTTCAGCTGGGTCAGGTTGCTCAGAGCCCCGTCCAACCTGACCTGGAACGTTTCCAGGGATGGGGCATCGACCACCTCTCTGGGCAACCTGGGCCAGTGCGACACCACCCTCATTGTAAAACATTTCCTGCTTTTATTCAGTCTGAATCTCCCCTCCTTTAATTTGAAGCCGTTACCCCTTGTCCTGTCGCAACAGGCCTTCCTAAAAAATCTATCCCCTTCTTTCTCACAAGCCCCCTTTAAGTACTGAAAGGCCGCAGTAAGGTCTCCCCGAAGCCTTCTCCTCCCCAGGCTGAGCAGCCCCAGCTCTCCCAGCCTTTCCTCCCAGCAGAGGGG